ATATATATATATATATATATAGTTGTTTTGTACACGATATAAGTCCAAGGGCAAAGTTTAATTGTCATTTGGTGCGTCAAAATGGGGATTTTTCCACGAATTTAAAAAAGCCTGTAGCGCTTCGTATCTTTGTTTAATGTTGGATTATCAATTGAGGTAGAGACTTGTACAAAATGTTGATGGTAAGTATACATGATACAAATGTGAGAATTCAGTCAAATTTTCATAGAGAGCGCCCTTATTTCAGTTATAATGAAATTTTATAGAAGCCCGTAACGTTCCTATTTCGTTGTTGTTATTTGTTGTTATTCGATTTGATTTCTGTTTTTCTATTTCGTTATTTAATTTTACTACGTAACCGAACAAAACAACTTTCCTGCATTTTCCATCATGTCAAAAGTAAGAAAAATCAATTTTCTTGCTATCTATTGCTTGGATCCTTCCTTCAAACTAATAAAAGTGTATCAACAATTTTTAAATTTTAAATACCATAACGAATACTTCAAAATCGAATAGTATTCAACCCCAGATAATTGTAACACCAGACTTACTTTTTATAATTAATGTTAAATATAATTTTTACCGATAAATCATATCCGATCTATTGAAATCCAAAAATACCAATTATTTATTTATTTTATGTTATAAAATTTCAATTATTTCATATATTAGCTTTTTAAACTATATTTTTTTTTAATTACGGCCACTATTATCACTTCATATTTTTTTACAGATTCTTAGGAAATTCGGTAGAGGATTGTTTACTATACAATTGAAATATGTAGGTATACAATCGATATAAAAATTATTCAAAGAATATATAAACATTGTATTTTATTTTTGAAATCGTACACTATGTAATTGGCATAGAAAATTTTGAACCATTAGTAACTTTTAAAATATGTACAAATGAACAACATGCATGATATTACGTATTTGGAAAAAATGATTTATTTCCCTCTTATAATAAACTTTCAATAAATATATATTTATACATCCTAATACTACAGTTTCACTAAAACAATCACAATTTTCGAATCAGAAACAATATAGTACACAAAAATATTTTAATAAAATTAACTACCGTAGTAGAAATACGTATATGAAAAATTTTTTTTTTTACCTATGATATGGATTTTAATGATCGCAGTCGTAAGAAATATCGCAGGAATACACAATTCCTTTAAATTCATTATTTTACACTTAATAATAATTAAATCTAATAGTATCATTTTACATGAAATAAGTCCATCATATTGCTTTATACAAAATTGAAAACCTTATATGCTTGTGTTGCACATGGAAACAGGAAGAATTATTATTTTTTACGCCACCTTGTTATTCTTGGACATATTGTGAGATGCCCAATTCAAAGACGTTTTCCATGAACTACGCAGAGCATCTTCAAATTTACTTCTAAAATGCATTTGAGCTTCAGCTTCGGATGCTTCAAGAACCAGTGTATCTCTCAAGTAATTGAGATCCTTCTCCGACGACAACTCTGGCAGGCCTGTCGACATCATCATTGCAAACAAAGAGAGAATTAAACTGCCGTGCCTCCTTAGTATTAGGAAAGCTTGTTCACAAGAATTCTGGAATCTGTAGAATTCCGAGAGGTTCGCTTTCTTGCCCTGACCTTTCGTGACCGTGTGTATAAAATCATTGACCAGAACGAACGGCACTCTTTCTCTGCGAAAACCAAATTTCTCTTTGAAGTGTCCGAGTATGTGGCCAAAATCAATGTGAAATAATTGGCCCGTTCTCTTGACCATTATATTATCCGAGTGCCGGTCGGCTATACCCAACACGTAAGTGGCGACGCAGTATCCAGCACAACTCAGAGTGAATTCTTCGATGGCCTTATTCAAAGAGGTCTCGCTGTGATTGTACTCCTTCAGCCAAGCTAGCAACAAGCCCCTCTTGAAAGCAGCTGTTGGAGTGAAGAACATTTTCTCCTTCTGTATGTTGGCTATCGTCTCGGCGTTCAGTACGACTTCTATAAGGCCAACTCTATTGTCCGTCGATATGCACCTGTAAGTAATGAGTCGGAAATCCAGATCCTCCTTCTGCCACAGCTTCTCCATTATGCAAAGCATTTGCAGAGTCAGCATATCTTGTCGCAGATCGTCACCTTGTTTGAAAATCAGATGAATGTCGTCTCCAAAGGGGTCAACGTTTTTGAAAACAAGGTGAAGGGGTCGCATCTTGCTGTCCATGACTCTGCACTTCTCCATCCTTATGCCGGACCACCTAAAGCTGGGATTCAGTGGATTCGTGACATTGGTGAAGGCTTCTCGGCAGTGATCTTCCTTAAAATACTCTACCATTTGTTGCTGGGCTGCTTTACGGTCTTTGCGCAACTTTATCTGGTCGCTGACTATGTCGAGCTTCCTCAGACACTCAACCTGCTTCGCCAGGCTTCTCATGTGCTCCTGGCTGCCCCGACAGTACGCCTCGAGCATCAGGCCGAAGCGCACGTTCACAGCACCGACGTGCATTTCCGACTTCAAGTGCCAGAAGAGGAAATGGCCAATCCTTTGGTTATTCAGAGCTCGACGTAGCAGAAACTCCGAGAGCTCGCACGACAGGTGGTTCTCATGCTTTAAAGCCTGAACGAGTTGCAGTAGAAACAGGCTGAGATCGTCGTCGCTTACGTCTTTCAGGCACTTGACGGCAAAGCTGCGCACCGTGGGATCGGGGTAGGCATAATCCAGAAGCTCGAGGGCTCTCTCTACCTCGAGCTTCGGCCATCGCAGTACCAGCGACGTCGCCTCTGCGACCTCCTTGTGGTCGTTCCACTCGACGCATTGCAGAAGCTTGGCCAGTATCGTCGGCACCTTCGTGATGCACTGCTGCCTCAGGGACCAAATCGTCTTCCGCTCCTGCTCGTGGAGCTCGTGCAGCGGGTCCTGGTCCGCAAGCAACTGGAGCTGCTCGATGTGTTGCTCCAGCTCGGCCTCGGAGACGCTGCTCGGGTCGAACTCGGCCGAGTTCTCCCGAGACTCGCTCAGCTTTTTGCTAAACTCGACCATCTTTTCGCCTGACGGATAGAGGACAGTGTGAGAGTTGGAGCATGTCTTGAAGTCTATCAGGAGAGCGGCCGCTCTATCCATGTCGGGATTCGAAACAACAGTGCCAAGTGGATGCAGCAGGTCATCGTTCTGAATGTCGTCGGCGTAGGCCCACATGTACAGGGTCAGGCCTCCGCTCTTCAGCTGGCTCTTGTAGTCGTAGATGGTCGTGTTCACCCAGCACAGTGGATTGACGGCCTCCTGTTTGCCGAGGTTCTTGCGGCTCTTGATTCCTTTGGACGAAGACTTGGTAACCTCGTAAAGGACAAAGCAGAGTCGCGCATTTTTCGGGATATCACGTATTTTAATGTCGAAGATGAAGTCTTCGTTCCATTGGCAGTAGCCATCCGGGTTGACTTTTATTTCTTTCGTCTTTTTGCTCTCGCAGAGGGACCTTCCTCCGTGAAACAGACCGCTTTGGACGACGACCTCGACCGTGCGATCCGCGGCTTCGGTGTTAAGCCGCGATATCGAGGTGATGTTTACAACGAGTTGTTGCTCAACTTCCAGCGAGTAAACATATTTTCCTCTTTTGCGCAGCGTTAGTGTGGAAAACGACGGCCTGTTGGCGCGACCCACAGCTTCGGCGTCCGGATCCTCGTAGTCGTGGTCCTTGTAAACGGGAATGTTGCTTATGTTCACGGCCACGAGAGTAGGGTTTATATCTTTGGAAATACATTCCCGAATATAAGTGTAGCGAATCAGCGGCTCGTCACCAATGAGATACTCGTCCTGGCCGCAAACCTTCAAGGTGAAATCTCTCGGCCGCTCGTCCCTCCGCGTCAAGGTGTTTGCTCGCTTGTTCAAGGCAAGCAAGACCAGAGTACTCGACGTTGTCACTTGCTTGACTGAAAATGTGTATGATGTGTCTGCGTTTTCGAATTTGACAACCAATACTATGTGTTCATCCTTCAAACGAGACTCTATGTTTTTCGGAACATTGGACGAGGGAGCTAATCTGGTAGGAAATTGATACTGTACCTTCTCAGCCCATGTTCTCTTTTGTCTTTCAGAAGCAACTTCATCTGCAAGCAATCTCATTTTCCAACGGAAATCATTGATTTCTGAATTTTTCAAGGTGGTAAATTCAATAAGACCTTTACCAATAAGCACACCTATTTGGGAGTCTAATATCTTATCACTTTGATTATCCTGCTTTTCAATCAGTCTAAGTATACAGCAGAATGGTTTTATATCACATAGGCGTCTACTTTCATCTCTCAGCTCTTCAGTTTCAGAATTAGAATTAATGCATACAAACACATAAGACGATTGAGATCTTAATGTGCCATGCAATGGATATTTGCTTGCCTCCTCCCAGATATCTGTTTTGATTTCAGCCAAACTTGCTTTAGGACTGATTTCAGGGCATGGTATTACCACGCCGTTTGGCATGAAACATGTTATTTCAATATTTGCTGTCGGTGACTTGGACCAGAAGTTATACTGGAAAGTATTTGGTATCTGCACCATTTTGCTGTCTAAATCATTAGAATCACTCAATGCAAACTGTTGATCAATACTTTTTGAAATGCCATCAATGAGCAATCCTAGGATTCTTAACACCAGATTCTATTTAACAACACCTGCAAGATAAATTATATATTACAAATAATATGAAGTAATTGAAGAGTATAACTATGTACAAGTTCAGATATTTATTTAAACACATTATTTCATTTTTATGAATTATTACGTTTATATTTAATGTACTACTTTAAGATGTAAAATACTATAAGTAGCATTATTTTTATGATTTTAATTTTTAAGAATATTCTAATAAAATCTGACTTTATAATTTGGGAAGTATAATAAACGATTTACAAATTTTTGTTGCTTGATCAGTACTTCTAGTTGAAATTTTTTTCCTAATGATTGTAACAACTTATTAAGTTGCTAACATGACAAAAGTTAACACTAATGAAACTGCAAGCACATTGCTTTGTAAAGTTTATCAACATTTACTGAAGACCCCTGACAAGTTATTAATGTTATGGTTAAACTAAAGTGGTCATTTATTACAAAAATGTTGAATATTTAGGTAACTAATGCAATGAAACATTACATATACAAATTTTAACTCTAGTAGTTATAATATAGAACACAATTCTACGACACTATACTACATAATACAATAAAAAATAGTTTGTAAATACTACTATGATTCATAAAGTTGTCAAGTTTAGAAATAACAATCAGAAAATAGAACTAAAACATGCTTTCTATTTAAATCATTTTAATATTGATAGTACAACTCATTGGCAGCAAAATAAAATATAACCTGAAAATTGAGTTTTATTTTAGCCTGCTTATCATGAGATTTTTTTTTCCTTCATGAGCTTGTAAAAAGTGAAAGTAAGTAACAACACAGCAAATAAGGAAATTTATGAAAGATGGTGTCATCGATATTGTATAAGTCATTTGTTGTTATGTCGTACTTTACCTTGATGTTTTATTGCAGATGTACACATAGGAAACTGATTGTTGTGGATATCGCATAGCTTTCCTAAAATAATAATGATGAACTTGCGTTGTGATTATGAAATTTTTAACAATTGCACAAAAGCGAAACAGAAGTGATGTTGATTAGTGGTTCAATTTGCACCTTTTATTTCTTTTTTTTTTGCATTCATTTTGAGGTATGTGCACTTTAGCCATAACACATAATATAAAAATCAGAGCAAAATAATCAAAGCATATAACGAGTAAAACTCCAGTACGTCAAAAACTGAACATTAACAATACCAAACTTATGATTGTATAGTATCAAGATTATCACGATATACATATACCCCCTTCGGAAAAGGGCCTTTACACAGAACATTCGCTGTGTGCATAACATTGGAACAGCGCCCTCATCAGAACTAAATGATGGATTGTGCGTGAAATTAGTATATCTATATATTCAACTGCTGTATATAGTCGTACAAATTTGTATATATACTAATACCACGCACAATCACAATCCATCGTTTAGTTCTGACGAGGGCGCTGTTCCGATGTTATTCACACAGCGAATCGTGGAGCTATTCACAGACATTTTTTGCTTATTTCATTGTGAACGTTCGTATTGAAAAGGGGATTCCACTGTTCCGCTAAACTCAAATCGAGTGAACAGACTGAACAGACCTATACTGTGTTCTCTGTCAGTCAACATAGTTGCGACCATAGGGCATAGGGCCTATGGCATAGGCTTTGTTGCCTGATGGAAAAAGAGGTATAGGTCTGTTCAGTCTGTTCACTCAATTTGAGTTTAGCGGAACAGTTGAATCCCCTTTTCAATATGAACGTTCACAATGAAATAAGCAAAAAATGTCTTTGTGAATAGCTCCCGTATGTCGGTTCGATCCATGGACTGCGCTTGTTCGATCCTGACCGGAAATAATTATTCGCACCCAATTTTTTTGTGCTTTCTTGTTCACAATGTGGTAAGTACTTACTGCACGTGAAAGTTCATCTTGCCATCCAGGAATAGGGCCAGGTTTTGTTAAAACAGTTTTTTATAAACAATATCGTCAAAGCTGTTTTTTTTATCTAAAAAAAATATTTTTAGATTCTTTGGCACATTTGGAACAAAAAACCGACTCAGATGTATATACGTAAACCCTACAGTTTTCAAGGAAAAATTCCTAAAGTTTTGAAAAATGCTATTTTTCCAATTTCCAGAGTTTCACAAGATTACTTAATAAATGGGTGATTCTGCCGTAATTTGCTCAGATCAACTTGAAAAATTTTTTAAAAAGAAGTTGGTTAAAAAAATTTTTTTTCATGGTATTTCTACTGTACACAACATCAGTAACAAATATCTAAAGCGATGCAACTACCAAATTTTCTGGTTAAAAGTTATACGAAATTTTATAAAAGTCAGTTTTCATCGATTTTTGAATAATTGTATCTCTTTCTAACACATGTAGCTAAGATCCTTCAACAGTTAGAGTGTTCTTACTGGGCTGAAATGAAAACTAGGATCAAGACCTTATTGATTAAAAAAAAAATTTTGTTCGGTTTTGTGCTTTCATATTCGAAAGTTACAGCTGTTTCAATTACAGCGTAAATATCGCTAATAATGTAATTTTGGCTGAAATTCAGTATTTTTCAAGAAATCACTATAACTTTTCATTCGGGGCATAAAATTCAAAGATTTTTGTTTTAATCATAAGGACTATATTTTTGATTTCATTTAAGCCCAGATAAAGCCACCTAATGAAGTGCACCACTTGGCTACCGACGTTGGAAGTAGTACCACCGTTCTTGCATTTGTGTAGCAAAAAAAGGCCAATTGGACGAAACCCCGAGACACGTGTCTCGTCTTTTAGCCCAACAGTGATGAAAAAAAAGTTTGGCTGGGATTGATTGCTCTAAAACGAAAAAAAAACGGCACTTTGAGGTGAGATAAGGTCGGAATGGAATTTTCAATGTTTGTAGTGCTCATAGACGTATTATAATGACTTGTCCACCCATACTTCATTTACTATCCTCAAATTCAATAAGAAACTGTAGTTTGCGTACCTGCACATGTACACCGAGTGGTTGTTCCATGGGGGGTCGGAACGGAATGAAATGTTTGTACGCGTGAAATACGCAAAAAAAAGAGCTTGGCTATTCGAGAGATAACAACTTCGAGTACTACTGTCGTAAGGATTTATTCATTTTAGTCCTATACTTTAAAAAGTGACCATTGGTTAGCATTTCCAGTCCATAAAGTTACTAGTTTGAACGGATTTTTATTAAAACCACGATTATGGGGCAAACATGTGGACAAAATGTATGCAGTAAAAACTCACTCGTTTTTGTCGATTTTTGGTGAGACTAAGGTCCAAATCTAATCACCAATAGCTAGAGTATATAATGCTTACACACCCAAGTAGTAGATAAGCCTTATTTTTTACCGGTGAAAGTTTTTATGAGTGAAATTAAGTTGTGGATATGGGTCGGAATGGAAAATTCGACTCTAAATGATCAATTATCTCAATGAAGAAATTAATATATCGGTATTTGACAAAATGGCAAGTGAAGTTGACAGCATTTAACACAATTTAACGTTTTTAAAGTTTTGGATTTCATTACGGCACGTGAGTATGAGTACCGGACACGATCTGAGCAAGTAACAGTAGAATCACCCAAATATATTTTCATGTGTTACACCACACAAATATTAACTATGAACTTTCCTTTAAAATCTCCAAAAAAAAAATGTCGAAAAATTGAGTGGTAAGATTGTTTTTTTAACAAACGTTCAGAACATTACGCGTGCGCCCCTGTATTTGAGGTGAGCGTGAGCCGTGACTACTAGTGCCAGAGAGCCCGTAAAAAAGTGCATGAAGTGGCTAAAGTTAAAACTAAAACCTTAACCTGCGGCAATAATACGAACTATAACCTTAGCCACGGGGCCCATATCTATTATACATACAACGGTACGACACGCCAAGCCATGAATGGGCTTGTTTCTAGCATCAAGTAGCGCTAGTGTACCTAGATAAGATTTCCATAGGAGTATACCTATACATCGAATGAAATCCATTCGTATAAATACATTAGATACTCCTGTGGAAATCTTACCTGGTCACACTAGCGCCACCTGATGCTAGAAACAAGCCCATAGCCCATTGACGAGATACGAGGTTACAAATTTCGAAAAAACTTGAAAAGAGTTTCTGTTGGAATTCTGTAATTATTGTTTTTTCAATTTATATTTGATTATCTCAGCTGCCATTCATTCATAATCTGGTGCATGGTCGTGTAATTTTCATTCCATGACATATTTTCATCAACACCAAAAGTTTGCTGCCAACCGCAACCCTCAGTCCCTTCAGAGCGCTTCTTTATCAGCACCACCGACGGCTAAGCTGTGAACTATCGCTGTGAACTGTATACTATAGATATAGACAAATGTGTACATCAGCGATAGTTTACAGCTGGGCCGGTGGTGGTGCTGATAAAGAAGTGCTCTGAAGGTTGAATAGAAATTTCCCTTAGCTCAGGCACTGAGCAGGTCCGGTGTAAATGAATGATCTAAGTTCAGATCTTGAACAGGCATAATGTAACTTTTAACAATAGAGTTGTGCACAGGGTCTGCAACGCCAGTAAACCTTTAGTTTTAATATACCTATGTACATAACGTGTCTGTATACATTAGAAGAACTATATATAGACACCTTGTGTATATAGGTATATTGTACTCACAAAACTCGATTTTTTCAATTTTTCACGTTCCAAATGAAAAGTTGCTTGCGTACCCCGGTACACTCATCAGTACATCATTCGAAACAAGTCCATTGTATGGGATAAGGTAAGCTGTTTCAATATTTTCTTTATAAAACTAAAGATTTTTTTTTAAAAATAAATACCTACTTGCGTAGTGTATTTATTTGAAAGCTTTATGAAGTCCTTNAGAACCACTTCTGTTTGGTTCCCTATATATAGGTATATTTTGTTAAGAGAACCGAACCGAACCATAAGGGGCTTGAACAAATCTATTGTATATGTAGGTATGTATGTACATACACAGGTTATTTTAATTAAATTATAGTTATCATTCGCGCATGAATTTGGTGTCACCGCGTCCTGGTTATTAATTTTAAGTGACGAAAAATTTAATATTCGACACCATGTTTTTGTTTATAAAGGATCCTTCATAATAATAATATCAGACTCATCATACAAGTCACCTCAAATCTACTCAGCCGATAACAAATCTGCACTTCAGACGCGCGCCTGCGATATTTAGCTTTTGGAACGCTCCAAAAGCATCGATCCGGGCACACGCGTGCCCTGTCTTTTGGACTTTTGGAATACTCTCGTATTTGTTTTTTAGTTTCGTGGAGCCCTGAAAATTGAAAAAAACGAATTTTTTGTAATTTCGGGAATTTTTTATTCTAAAACTATGAGGTTCTTCAGGTATATACATCTGAGTCGGTTTTTTGTTCAAAATGTGCCGAAGAATCTGAAAATAATTTTTTCAGATCATAAAAATAACTTTGACTCAATTGTTTATAAAAAAATAGTTGAAACAATACCTGACCATATTCCTGGATGGCAAGGTGAACTTTCAGGTGCAGTACCACATTTTGAACAAGAAAGCGCCAAAAAATTAGGTGCAAAGCGGACAACTTTTTTTCTAGTTCATCACTGATTCAGTCCGGTTTATGCTATGCTGACAAGCTGGCGTACGAGTAGAAAGAGACGCAGCATTAAGCGTGTCAGTTAAACCCATCTCGAATAGAAATAAACCAACAGTTTGTATCTAGCATATAGATCCATTAAATGGATCAAGGCTGGATCAATTTTCAATGGATCTAGCTTGGATCTAGATACTGTGTATTATCCAGCGTGAAATTTTTGATGGAAAAAAGTATTGACATGTATATTGTTGAAACTATGTTAATTAAAAAATTAATAATGATAATTATTTGAAACCGTACATGAAAACAGCACTTTATTGAATAAATTAATTTGAATACATACAGATTAAATAATTTTACTTTAACAGTAATAAGTACATTTCTATGACATAATAAAACCAGTTTTCGTTTATCGATTCGTCAGTATTATTTTCATTAACGATCACATTTGTTATCGGAAGTAAATACTGGTCACGGTTCATATACAGTTGCGACACTCTGCCCCATAACGCTTACCAGTTGGTACCAACTTAAGTTTTTGACTCCATATATATATGTAGCGATTTTTATCGCCTACTTGAGAGAGAAAAAGGTGTTTCGTCCCGAGAGCACGC